CGCTAGGGCTCCTGCCGCCAGCCTCCGCTCTCCGCCGGCGGCCTCCCCTCCGCACACCTGACGGAGGCCCCGCCCCTGGAAGCACAGGTGCACGCGGGCGTCGACGCTCAGGTGTTGAGGGCTGGTAGCTCCCTTAGGGCTCCCGAGCCAGGCAGGCGCCCCCCTGTCCTCCGACTTTTTCTGGGGGCGGGGGGAGGAATGGGAGAGCCGGGCTCTCGGGAGAGCACTCACTGCCCCAGGGAACGGCACCTTCCGATCTAACCGGGTTTCCAGAGCTACCCGCCTCCAGCCCTCGCCCCGCGCAGGTTCTCGCGCCACTGTGGGCTCTAGACGCTTCCACCGGGAAACATCTCTCTCCCCCTATTCCTTCTCCCCCTCCTCCTCCCTTTCTCTACACCCACCTCCTCCCCATTTGCGTTTGGAGGCAGGTACAGGGAGAAGTAAAAGCTTGTGTTGCTTAAAGGAATAGCGGTGCTGCTAGAACTGCTGACTCCCGCGTGGGAGCCGAGGGGAGTGATTTGTTTTATGGGCCCTTCGCTGTCTCATGGGAGGGGGGTGCCAACAGCAGCTCCGGTCTAGAGGGGAAATACTGTGTCTAGTGGGTGACTGATATTTCTCATTTCGTGTTGTGCCGGCTGTTGGAGAAGGGTGTCTGCTTTGCTACTTCACAAGATTCAATTTATTTGCTTTTGTTCCGATCTGCATGTTCCTGCTGCGTTTTAGAGCGTTTAAGAACAGTGTCTTTAAAGCAAAAGGCTAGGCGTCAAATAAGAAAATAAAAAAATAAGGGAAGGTTCGTCCTGACCAAGGGAGGCACACTGGGCATCCTCAATTGTTGGGGGCCACCTGGGAAGAGCGAGTGAGGACCAAACAAAAGACTCTCCAGGGGCCTGGATGGGAAGGATGGAAATAACCAGGCTCCTTGTCCTTTGTTGTGTTGTTTTGTTTTGTTTTGGAGAGGAGAGAAGAGGAGAGGAGGAGAAGTGGGGAGGAGCCCTGTGGCCATCTCACCCAAGGCAGCTTCTAAGCCCATTTCCTTTCAAAGGATTTTCTAAGCCCATTTCCTTTCAAAGGATTTTCCCATCCACCGACCCCTGAGTCCTGAAGCATGCACAGACCTCACAAGTACACCTTTCACTTGAGACCTAGTCTGCATAATCCCATCCTAATATTTGCTCACCATTCAGTTCAGTTCAGCCGGTATTCTAGATCTATTAAGAACTAGGTCTAGGCTAGGTGTTGTCCGGACAATTCTATGGCTTGGCCTCTCCCACAAGGACAAAGGACGAAAAGTGTGTGTATGCCCCTAATACATACAGAGCATAAGGTGTGTAGCAGGTATACAGAATGCTGTGCACCCAGCCAGTGTGGCTCAGTGGTTGAAGGTGGACCTGTGAACCAGGAGGTCACAGTTCAATTCAATGCCTGAGCTTTGGGTTCAATCCCCAGTAGGGGTTGTGCAGGAGGCAGCTGATCAATGATTCTCATCATTGATGTTTCTATCTGCCTCCCCCTTTCTCTAAAGTCAATAAAAATATTTTTTAACTTATAAAAGAATGCTATGCAAGCATCAAAAAGTCATTATAATTGGAGGAACAGAAACATTTCACAGAAGAGAGAACATTGTTACTGATTCTTAAAAACCAAAGGGGCCAGAATCAGTTTGGCTCAGTGGATAGAGTGTCGGCCTGCGGACTCAAGGGTCCCAGGTTCAATTCCGGTCAAGGGCATGTACCTTGGTTGCGGGCACATCCCCGGTGGGGAGTGTGCAGGAGGCAACTGATCGATGTTTCTCTCTCATCAATGTTTCTGGCTCTCTATCCCTCTCCCTTCCTCTCTGTAAAAAATCGATAAAAAATATATTAAAAAAAAACCAAAGGGGAGGGGAAGGGAGGGGATGAATAGATGGAGATCAGGGCAATTTGGGGGCAGTAAAGTTATTCTGTATGATACTGTAGTAGTGGATATAGAACATTATGCATTTGTCAAAACCCATAGAAGTGTACAGCACAAAGAATGAATCTTCATGTAAACTATGGACATTAGCTAATAATAATGCATCAATATTGGTTCATCAGTTATAACAATGTACCACACTAATGCAAGGTGTTCATAATAAGGGAAACTTGTGGGAGAGTACATGGGGAACTTTGTACTTTCTGTGACATTTTTCTGTAGACCCAAAACTGCTCTAAAAAATAGTCTTTTAAAAACAGATGACTGACTCTATAGGACATAAATGGGATGTGAGGCACAGGCCATTTGGGCTCGGGGAGGAAGGCTGGGGTGGCCACCAAAAGCCAGTGGGAGAAAGGCTTGCTGGCTTGCGAAGGAGACCAGCTCTCTCTGCTCTGCACTGGGAGCCTGTGTGTAAGCTGAGAAGTGACGTGATTAAATTT